CCGTCGCTGAAGCCTGTGCTCCGGCGCACCAAGGGCAGGCGCGAGGAAGACGTCGTGAAGCGAAGTCGCCTCGCCAGTGCGATGTCGGGCAGTGAAAGTGACGGCGGAGATAGCGATTGGCTGCCCGTGCAGCGGTCCCAGCGCCTGGTGGATAGGAAGCGGGTGGTGGAGAGGAAAGAGCAGAAAGGCAGCAAACCTAACACGTCAGCTGTTTTTCACGGCAAAGGTCGGCCCGAAAAGAATAGTTCGCAGTTGGATGCAGTGCCAACAAAAGAACAGCACGGTGGACAGCACCAGTCGAAACGCGCTGGAGAATCCAAGCATCAGCACTACGACCCCGAGGAAGGCACCGACGATGCGCCGCTCGATGGCCAAACCGACGACGAGCAGCTGGGCGCATCTGACCAAACATGCAAATTAGTTGCCATGGATGGCGGCTCTCCAATTCCCATGCATCGCACCGGAACGGATGCCCAGGCCTGCAAAGGCTCTCCAGAGGGAAAGAGAACCATTGCGAGACGACATAGGGGCCGACGAGATGGAATGCGTACAGATGGAAAGCGGTGCCCCACAGAGGCTGTGGGCGGTGGTGGCCAAAGGAAGTTGGGGTCCTATGATGGACGTCCTGAAACAACGAAAACAAGCAAAAGTAAGCTGGAGGATGGCAGGGAAGGCCGCAAGACGAGGCGAGATGCCGGCGATGAGAAAGCCATACTCCGCAGTACACGTGAGGTTTTGGAAGCGAGGAATGGGCAGTCGCGAAATGGTGCTGGGAGATCAGACAGGGAGAATGGAAGCATCAGCTTTTTTGCGAACGATCCAAATGCATACTCAACGCCATTGTTTCCTGAAATTCGAACGCAGGGGAGAGCGGAGAACGGCCATGCGAGTGGAAATTTGACGCTACGTGGTCAAGACTCTGGGCGGAAATCCACTTCAGCTTCCCTTAGCGATGTTGAAACCCCTGAGGAGCAGTTGATGCGCCGCGCCAATCCCTTCAAAAATGTTGTCACGTCCTTGAAGCGAGGAAAATCGCATACTTCGTATTCCGACTATGGAGCCATTGATTTCACCAAATTCTTCATGAAAGAGGTGAGAAGAAATGACGGCACTGTCGCGATTCTGTCCATCGTCGAATGTAAAGTATTGCCTTTGAACAGTATATCCAGAAGTCTCCTGGACATACCGTTTTGTGCAGATTCTGCATCCATTATCTGAAACTAAAGCTCTCTCAAATGAAGTGCGTTTGGCGCATCAGAACGTATTTGAAATGTATGCATTATCACGATGAGTCAGTCCCAACTTCGTAGGCCGGCAATCCGACAATACGACAAGCTTGAAATGCTTGTGTTATGCATAGTGTATGCAATTACTTGTGGTCGATTTTAGAGATTTAGTGCTTTGCACGGTATCAAGTATTGTATCCCAGTTGCTTCCAGGTTGCGCAGATGCATTATGGCGTCAATAGGTGATGTCATGTAACTTCTGTGGTCTTTGCAACAATGGATTCTTGAGCACACTAGATCTACCCGACCGGCTAGCAGATGGCCAATGTGTTTAAAATTTGTAAATGTCCATGTAAAGTACGAATTGCACCATGTTTTTAAATTTTGGGAGGTGAGGCACAATGTATCGCCACATGTGGTAACTAAGCGGTGGTATTATATGCATGGAATTGAAAATTAAGCTCTTTGCAAAACCTATCACAGATACAGTGTAGCAGAAACTATCAATACTTCAGAGTATGCCCCGAAGAAAGTTGGCCAGCGCATTCATTCTCAAAAATATGAGGGATAAGTCTAAACGAAACATAATGATTAATGCACCACGTGAACACCATGAGAACACACTGCTGCGTACAGCAAGCCCTGAAGGCATCGAAGCCCACGCTTCTTGTTTTGACACGCACATTCACAAAAGCTGGAAACACGTTAGATATGCGAGCACAAGTCTCTTGACCTTGACTTCAGCATGTTCTAATTCCGTGGCCTATTCATTGCCATCGTGAGAGTTCACCCTGCAAGGCAAGGATTTAGCCGTCAGCTTCCTATTTTCTCCCAGGAAAGCGGCGTCCATTATGTGCGCATTTGCCATGTGTTCATTGTGGTCTGGCTCAGTAAGAATGCGTTCGCATCTAAGTGCTCGACTGTAAACAAGGGACCCATGACGAAATCAGCCCACCACAGCAGAGGATTCGGAAGTCTCCTGCAAGGCACGGAAATAGGGAACTTGGAAGGCAATGGTGAGTTGAATCCTGCCGTTTTGCGTGGAAAGGAAGTTGCAGATATGCGGGGATAGATTTAGAATTCATTCCCAAATGTCTCCAACCGAGTTGCTTCATCCCCTGAAAGAAGAATGTGTTGATGCTCGATGATGGTAATAAAGTGACAAATCGGGCCCTTGCTGCGTTCTGATAATGCTCCGAATACAGCAACGGAAATGTGGTATCTGTGGATGCGGATGAACGTATGCATATATTAGAACTTCGGCGGCACGCACACAGTCAAGTCGAAAGCCAAAGCGGGAAATGTAGTGGCGACTCACACATCCATGAGCGACTCAAAGCTTTAGCAATATGGTCAATGTTGAGTCCAGCAACTGATGTTTCAGGAGGATTGGAGGCCGATTCTGTCGTCAAGAAAAGGAAAAAAGGGGCGAGAACCGCCGCTGGCTGTGCGTCAACTATTTCGAAGACAGCCGTTCACGCGGCATCGAGATCCCGCCGGAAAGGTGGCGCAAAGGTGATTTCAACCATCGGCAACAACGATCTGGGACTGAAATCAAATCCTATTCCTCGTATGATGGAACGCTCTAGAAGTGCACTTGGCAGTAAATATAACCAAGAGAATACTTACGCATAGAAGTCATCAATACCGCGTGAATTTCCCTATTGAAGTTCGCATGCACTGCGACAAACAGAAGGTAAATATCATCAGAGTAAGGGACGCATTTCTTTCAGCTCCAAATATTGTGAATTTTGAAGGTCGCCGACCATAACGTGTACCCATATATGTTGTTTGTCCTAGCTATGTCTGAATCGCGCTTTGAAATAGCCTTGTTATTTGCGCCGTCAAAAGCGGTCGTATTTATGTTTTTATGCGCAAATTATATTTTGCATCTTCAGGCGTACAAAAGGCGTGAAAATACGAAAATATAACGTAGATGCAACCCCTGTATATAAAGATCGTACAAACAGACTTACGGAGTCCGTGTAGTAGCAGCCAGGCGCGCTGGAGTGGGCAGAAAAAGAATTTCTGTTCGACGACGTCGTTGCCCTTGCCGAGGGCGAGGTGGACGCTATATTCCGTACGCTCGAGGGGGCGAGGGCTGATCATAGTACGCGACTTCCATGGTGCGAACTGTCTCCGTAAAGACGCAAATGAAGAAGCAAAACTAGCGTCGTTAAAAGACGTTTGCAAAATTTGCAAATTTGCATTTTTACGTGCAAATGCTTGAACGCCAAACGTAAACATCAGCGTAAATAACAAGTCTGCTTTGGAAGAAAGGGAGACGATATCTCAATTCCTGAAAAGGCCATTTATGGATCCAATGACGATTGGGAAGCCGCGTGTGCTGTGCATTCAGCATTGCATGGTTTCTTATGACAACAACAGGTGCAAAATTATCGCGGGGATGCATTGCTCAATTCACGTTCCAACACTTGAAGTTACAGATATGTTATAGACCCTACAATCAAGAATGCATCGAAACCTGCCTAGACAGGGCCGCGCTACAAGAGCACAGTGCATTGCACAGCCAGTACATGGGTAGCAATGCACGGCGTCACTGTACATTTTACAGCTTTCTACTCATTCACAGGAAGCGCAAATGCTCCACAGTCCAACCATGAGGATAGACTTCAGCGATACGGGGCCTTCTGGTGAAATTCGCCAGCCTATGGCACATATAGGCGGCATGGAGCTCCCCAAGGCGGCGATGCCAACCTTCAGCACGTCGCCTTCTGACGCGCTGAGCAAAGAGCAGGAGGCAGGAAAGCGTCGAGTCAAACAAGGTACATGCCGCCATTCAGATAATCAGCGCAGTTTGCGATTGCCGCATTAGTAGTGCTTGCAAATCAGAGAACAGCCACTGGGGATGGAAAGTTTTGGCCATGGGCCTCGATGACATTATTTGGATCACCAGTTTCTATTCGCAGACAAAGAAAATCGACTGTGTCGACACACTGGCCCTTATTATGTTTAATAAACGTAATACGGATATGCAGATGCGTATCTGCATATCTGTAACCCGGCATCTCTGAATTTTCAGCCAGATTCTCCCTGGTAGTGCTTCCCTGCGCTTCCTAGTGGTTCTGTCCAGACAGCATATAACTGGGGAAGACTGAGAATTTGCGGGAAGACAACTTTTCGTCGCAGGAACAAGAAAGGCGACTGTTGGAAGTGAAGGATCGACGGAGACGGAAGGCAATGCGGCCAATTTGCAAGACATCATTGCCGCAGCTGTTTTGGGTGACGATGACCAGGACAGGTTGATCGCGGCACCACGCGGCACCAGTAATATCAACTGACGCTTGCAACTTCTACCCATTAGGCGCCCCGCGTATTGCTCCAAACAGTTACTGGCTCTGATCCAATGCTCTGATCCCATTTCTGGCAGCGTATTGGAATTGATATGTGGTATGCATTGACAAGGGGTTTATCTTGCAAAGTGGTGCTGTGAAAGCACCGCAACGCAGAATCAGATCCTGCTAAGTTTCTTGGTAACTAAACACATGGGATTCTCACTATTGTGCATCAGGCCTGTCTCGGTACGCAGCTCCGACAAGTTATGTATATGCGCGGGGCATTGTGTCCTCCACATCAGAGCCACAAAGCCGCATGCTGAATGTGAGCATCTCAAAACTCCATGAAATGGAACATCAAGCACGCGAAACTGATCTTCACAAAGAGTTCTTCCTTTGGCAACGCAGACAACCACGAATGCAGAAATCAATGAATTGATGTTTGTGCTCGCGAAGCAGCAGCCAGGGTGCAGTGGATATGGGGGAGCTGGCCCAGGCCCTGCAAAGCGTTGTCAAGAACAAGAGAAGCAACGCCAAACAGAAGCAAAGAAAAATATTGCAGGTGAGAGCTCCCGTATCCAGGTGATTCCGGCGCGGATGCGATAAATGCTGGTATGCGTTGTCGCTGTGCATGCTGATGAAGGGCCAACGACAAGTTTGTTGGGAAGGGTGTTGGGTGCCAATGGTTTGCAGCTCTGCGCGTGCTCTGCGCACTTGCCCAAGTGCATGATTGGAGAGCACGACCTTAGCAGAATGCGACACGTCACGGCACAGCACTTGCAAGCCCCATGCCGTCGGTTCCACACATGCTGCCCGGCATGGTGTCATTGTTTGGTTGAATGCACCTGTGGAGGCATTGAAGAATTTGCACAATGATTGGCTGCAACATTATTTCAGTAATGCATTGCTGTTATCAACCCATAAAGAACAAACAATTTTCCATTGCAATTCATAAGCATCAGTTACTCTACAAATCATCATGTGCTTTCTCCTGTACTCAACAGATAATACGTTTCAAATATCGAAGGCCTTCTATCCTTTCGCAGGACATGCTCTACGTGTGGCACTTGTTAGGCTCCTAGTAATCAGAGGCAGAGGCGACGCAATGCACGAAATGCAATAATGTACCAAGGGCTGGTTGTCCACAATACAAACGTGAAAGCACCCCAACCGAGGCCATGAGGCTGCGGAGTTATGGTGCATTCCTTCATTCGGCAACGCAGGTTGGTTTTGCTTCAAAGATGTGAAATGGTCATTTACTGGCTCTGTTGCGAGCCCTGCGTCCGCAGGATGTACAGAGCACTATAAATGAGAAGGGCCAAATGATCCACGCGCAAGTGAGGCATGACGTGCAGCAGTGCATGAAGGCGTGCCAGGCGGGATTCGAGTCGCTGTTCGAGAGCCTGGAGGAAGTCGTGGGGCGAGCGGAGGAAGCGAGGAAAAGGTACCAGAGCGACATGCAGGGTTGCGGCGAGCAGTACAAGGAAATCCAGAGGCGAGCGGCCCAGCTAAATCTGGTGAGCGATCGCAATCATGGGTTCATCAGACGCGCGTCATGCGTCACCAGACAATGCTGTGGGCCATTTGGTTTTCGAATCAGGGAACTCAACATCGTGACCACAGAAGAGCGACTGCAGCAAGTTCATAGCAATCTAATTGCAGCGCGTATAATGATGAGTGCACCAATTGTTGGCTTGGATGCTATGTTTTTGTTCCAGCAGATACGTGGATCTTCAGCGGAGAATTGGAGAAAGTTCGTTGAGTTAAGCCGCGTGTTTGTATCTAGGTCCCACACAGCTGCATAAGCGGCAATTTCTCGCAACTTTCACGTGATAATGTGCCCATGATGTCGCGTAAATTTGTCGCTGCCTGATGGCAATTGCGAGGCTCGCCCACTGGTCAACTCAAGGTGGCGAAGTATACCGACAAGGTGCATACTGGCAAATGTATGCTGTCAGTGCCATTGGGGACGTTGCTCGCTCATTATTGGCAATACCAGGCAACATCTCTTCACAAAAGCCATTGAACGTCGGTATGATTCATTGTGAGGCTTACGAGGGCTCAGGAGCAAACTGTCTGTGCCAGACCTATCGCACCCCGGGCAGCTGCACAGCACCCCTCCAGGGACACCAGCAAACCTAAGGACTTGTGCCCTTCTGGGCTTGCTGTCGAGAACCGGTCTGGAGCGCCGTGAACGCAAATATATAATTGTATCCATATATGGATGAAGATCGCTCGAGGCGCGCAACAATCCAAAGGGCAGTCGTCTGCCGTATTCTGGCAACTGCCATCCACCAAGCTTTGCACGTCAGGATTGAGTGCATCCGCATGCTGCAGGGCCTCCAGGCGACCATGACCAAGAAGCGCAGCGCCTTGAAGCGCAAGCTCGACGAGCTGCAGAGAGAGGCCGGCGACATGCTGTCGGTTGCAAAGAAAAAGATATCCAAATCGAGGCGACACGCCACAAAACTTCCCGAGCTCGCCAAGATTCTGAAGGCGTTTCTGTAGGCAGCAATACGTGCACGCGAAGAGAGGCTGCTGGCGAGGAGCAGCTCTGTTGTGGAGCCCGCAAGGTGCACAGGTCGCAAAGGGATTGCACCGCTGTGGCTTCCTTGCAGGGAAACAGCAACCGCTCTAACGAATCGTGATTGCTGGGGGACATGTATTGCCGGAGGATGCCCGGAGGGCTGGGAGCCATCGACCTTTGTAAATGCCATCTGCGCCTTGTGCGAATATGCAACCGATGTAGGCATCTGCCAGCGTGGGGTCACTCTTGGCCGTAGCTGCACACATGAGGAGCTAGCCTCTGAAAAAATCATGCAAAATCAGAAGAAAGTGAAATGCAATCGTGCGTATAGCGATTCGTCTGACACACCCACCATCCTTGACTCTATTGTTTCACATCGGCGCCGTGTCAAGTTCTGTGACTTTGCAATGGCCTTTTTACGGCATCCCATGACCGAAAGACGTGAAGGTGGGAACACAGGGCTTCCATTGGTGGCGAATGACGATCACCCACAAGGAGGCCATGAACTTCGAGGCCCATTTCTTCCCGCGCTTTCTCAATTTGCTTAAGGATGTAATCGTCCGGCAGTGGTATTTCGCCATCAGTCACCATCAATATGTCGGCCTGCATGCCCACAACAGGCCGGGCTCAAGGAACATACCAAAGAAAGAATTGAAAGTCGCGAGTTATACTGAGCATTGAAAGATTAATAATTTGTAACTATTTCAACTCTTCCACACACTAAATATACGGACACGATTCATGGTTACCTTTGGCCATCTGTATGGTGCCATGCACGGAGATCGTTTTAGAGGATCCTTCATGTACATTTGGTGATCAGGGACAGTCATGAAGTCAACAGGAATCAAAACTGACAAGCTGATCGATCAGCCCCGCGGGAAGCGTAGTTTTCCTCGGCATAGGGAGCGAAAAGAAAGTGCATCGGACCGCACAACAATGCTGAAATTGCTTTTCAACTCACCTGCGCCCATTCCTTGAGTTGAAGACGCTCAAGGCTGAGCTTCAGCGGCTCGTCGACATCCGTGCCGCCGTGGAATGAGTGCTCCAGGAACTTGAGCAGCTCGTCCAGCGACTGCACCGTCACCGACAGCTCCAACTCCTTGACGTCCTGCGGCCCGCTGAAGGCGTATAGGTAGCACGCGCGCCTCTGGCGGTGGGCGCCCCTCAGGCACTCCAAAACCACCGCCTTGGCCACCGTCTCACGTCCACCAATCATAGAGCCGGACGTGTCCAGGCAGACAATGATCGGCCCCTGCTCGGCGGCGGGGCGGAGCTCCATGCAATGCAGCACGCGAGCAGGCACGTCCTCCAGCCAACCTTGCAATGCAGCACAGCAGGGAGGCTGAGGGTCGTCATGTGGACGGCTGCCAGACAGACGTCAAGCGTCATTGTGATGTGATGTTGCGACCGCTACCAGCGTGAAACCCATTCGCATGATGCACATTGTGGATCAGAAACAGCGCAATCCCAAGGTGGGCAGTTCGTCTCTATGGATTGACCTAATCTATTTTACTTCAATCAGTTTATCGCTGTTGTAGTCAACATTCTTCACCATGACACTTCAATCAAAAACCCTGAAACCTAGTCTTCGTTATCCAATCAACCCCCATCCATTTCGTCCAGGACACTCTGTTCTTGCGTTCCTTTGCACAAAAGTACATATTCCACAGCGCAACTAAGTGCAATCAAGGGCTGTCGTTCAGCCCTACCCATGGCGTCAACATGGGTCCCTACCTGTTCGCTCATAGCTGAGCAGGCTGCGTTCCGCCCTCCTGGCCAGGTGCAGCAGGCGTGCCGCCCTCGAGCCCTCCCTGGCCTCTGCGCCGTCGCCGCCTTCCCGTTTGGGCCAACCGGCCGCCATCAGGGCCGCCTCTGCAGGGAGCATGCGGCTGAGGTCGTCCGACCTGGAAAGGCCACGCGTCTCCTCCGGCTGGAGAGGAGACCTCACGATTCCAGCCGGGTAGCTGGATGCCTCGGCCTGCACCAAAAACGCAGCAAAGCCAATAGACATTGAGGCAACATCCTGTAGAGTACCAAACATGCACAAGTGTGAAAACATCCTGCAGAATATCAAACCTGTACAAGTGGGGCCCGCATGAATGCTCCTCGTCATGCGGCGACTTGAAGAGCACATGTTCCAACGCCCAGCGACGTGCTCAGCGTGGCGAGGAACTGAATAGCATCCATGGGTGGGCCAAAGGCTTTAAAACAATTCTGGGGCGCGCTTTGCATTCGGGTGGCCTTTATATACATCATGAGGCAACTTATTGAACTCCGCCAGTTGAAAGCGGTTCACAAGCAGCCAAGCACTCAGCAAATGGACAATTGCAAGAATCTGCAATGTACTTGCAATGTGCCACTCCTCGCACTGTACCGTTTATGTGTGGGTACAAAAGCAACATACAAATCAGCAATCTTCCGCTGGCCATCAAACTACAAAGAACAAAACACATCGCGGAGTTGCAAAATGTGAAGTTCTGTTGGTGGGGCCAAGGCGGGGACCATGAGAGTCCCCTGATAAATATTCCAAACAAAAAGCTTGCAATAAACAATAACATGCTCACGAAATTCCTCGTTCCGGGCATCTCTCAAATGTGACAAATCTTGCCCAGTGAGCTTCAACAAACGCCACAACTGTCCACATAAGCACAGGCTGTCATCCGAATTTGGATCGCCATCCGAGCTTACAGCCACACAATACAAGGGCACCATTACCTGTGCAGGTGCCTTACGTATTGGACCACGGCCGCCAGAGCGGCCCAGGCTTCGGACTATCTCTCGCAGTTCCCTCAGCCTCTCCAGCTTCTTCCTCAGCTGCTCAAACTCGTGCCATCCAGTGCGCTGCCACAGGCTATGGTTCAAGCTGAACCCGTTGCTGCCATCCAAAAGATCTGCAGAGGCACATCATGTAAACGAACCGAGCTCAATGCGGTTGAAAGCAGTCATGCATTGCACAGTACTCCACAGCTCAGGACACCAATTTTTAATACACCATGAGAAGGCAGCACCAGGCAGAGAGCCAATGAACTGTACCCTGAAGGGGCAGGGACCCATATGCTTACGATGTCGATTGCCCTTGCAAAAGATCGCAGTGCCATTGGGCGAAATTTCAGGAGTTACAACTCAAAAAGGGAGTTTCAGAAACGTTCGCGTTGTACAGTCATCTCTTGTAGCGACCATAACAGAGAGCCATAACAGAAACAAAGAGCTCTTCAACTATTCCAGAGTCAGCAGGAGCACCAAACACTTTCCCAACTCGTCCTTGAGCGCCAAAGAAACGACTTCACAGCAATGGAAAAACTGCATGCGCATAACGACAAAGCGAATCAAATCAGGGAAGTGAACTGCAAAATCCAAACCATCATTACCATCCAAACCATCAAAGGCAAGTTTCAGCTTGTTGAGATTCGACATGACAGGCTCCATGGTCTCCTCAAACTCGGAAACAAGGTCTTCAGCCATTGCTGCTAGCTCAGCCTCTATGTCCATGTCACCCCTGCCCAGCAAAGTATTGAAGGTAAGAGATTGTCAACTGGTGGCAAGGAGCATGTTGGGACTGTCATGGCTATTGAATGCAACTGTACATCAGCCCTGTTGGCTCCAACTCTGGTTGAACTCATGCTATTTAAGGATATTGAATTCACTGCTAGAGCCTATTGAAGGGCTTCAAACATCTGCAATTTCTATTGCATTAGATGGATAGCCATGCTGACAGCATCAAAAATGGGCTTTCAGCGCGCACTACACATGTCTTCAGTGGCATGCATATAATCGATTTGATGAGGACAGCAAATCACTGAATGCAGACTTTGCCCTCACCCTTCCCCATCATTTGAGTCGCTTCCTCCAAGTTCCTGCGATGTTATTTCAATTTCGAGTTCCTGTTGGTTGTTCAGCTCACCATCTGCACCTTCGCCAGACGGTTGCTTATCTTGTGCATCATGCAACATTTCGTCTGTAATTTCCTGCACACAATGGTCAAAAGCATCGACAAATTAGTACCTCCCCGGCAGTCTCAGCAGGGATTATCGTTCAAAGGAATGCATCGCAGGAAATACATCAAATACAAAGAAATATATCATTCTGTTCAAAGAATTCATCGTACAGACTGCATTTCTTTGTCATGCATTCAGTGAAAAGGTGATGCAGAATTCCCTAGTAGCATCCCAGCAAGCACACCACAGTTAACAGAAAATAAGCAACAAGGCTCCTGCCAAGTTGTACGCCAATGAGCAGCCTCATGTTGTGACACTTAGGCCCCCGTGAATTCAATTCATTCAATCCTTTCAATGAATGAGTGCCTACACCCCACCTGTCCACTTTTTATCAGTGCCTATGAATGGCAAACGAGTCTTCAATCAAAATTCTGTCCAACACTGTTGAAGCACCAAAGCAGAGAAGATTGGGATAAAAATGGCAAGGGACATCATGTATAATTGCACCTGGAACAGCTTGTAAATAGCAAAGGTTTGCACACACATCATTGCAATGCTGCAACACCACAGCTCTACAACGAATTCGTTCACAAAGGTGAAATGCAAGTGAGGCAACAGCATACTGAACGGGAGCCATTGTCGATGGTGCAACTGGTAATACAGGTGAACACAAGATAAAGTACAGCAACTTGGCCCCTTAATTCCAATAGACACAGAGAAGCAAAGATAGTGCCATGGACAATGTCCCTTAGCCAGCCACAACAGCACAAAGGTAGCAAATACGCATGAACTTCTTTAGGGTTTTCTGCTGCTCTCTGGTGCTGCACAGCAATGAAAGCTCACTTCTGGGCCCCTGCTGCCTGCCTCTGAGCCATCTTGCCTGCCTCCCTGACCCCGCTCCTGTTGCTGTTCATCACCAGTCCCTGGTCCTGAAATTCCCTGAGGCGACATGGGTGGCGGTGGTGTTGGGGGCTCGTGCTCAGCCTGCAGCTCCAGCAACTTCTCCTCAAATTCCTATGCCAAGTGCCATAACTCTGTCCTCAATGCTGGAATTGTGTCACAGTCAGGTAGTCATGGCCCAGCCATCAGCCAGACATGGAAACCCCATGGTTATCAAGGCCTTCATCACGGTGGCCAATGAATTGACTAAGTGATTCCTACCTTCAATGCGATGGGGGGCCAGATACCATCCATGTCAAGATCTATGACGCCCATACTCTACATCGAGCTCACATTTGTGTGGTTGCCCTCCCATGCACGTCATATAAATTTGTAAAACTCAAGGTAGTTGAATACCAAGGTAGCTAGGCCAGCATCTCACGCTGCGCACAAAGCCATAGAGGAATGCTGTATGGGCAGAATGGTTGCCGTGTGGCAGTTGTGCAGCCTTCAGCATTCCCTGCCTGACCATGGGCACTCACGTAAACAAGGTCCAACATGTTGGTGAGTAGACCATCCACCAGTCGAGGGTAGCGTCGAGTGAAGGTTGGCATTTGAATATTCTGCAGGGCACTCTGTTGAAAACAAGAATAACAGAAGCAACGTCAAGTGCAGATGCATATGCACAGAAACCATCACAATCTTCCCAATTCATCAGTAAAACCATTGGCAGCTTGCACAAACAGATGAAGTTGTTATGGAGGTCGGCCTCCCATATCTTGACCCCCCTTTTCTCAGAGTAACCCAAGTCACTGTGAACAAACTGGTACTGCAAAGAACATGCTCAGTCAATGGTATCTTCTTGTGGTTCAGGCCATCAGGCAGCAGTTGCTGTTCACCATGAGCACACAAGATATCTGCACAGCTTCACTGGCCACACAGTCTCACAGACCCAACATGGACATGGCAGAGGCAATAGCTAGATGTGTAGAATTGCTCACAATTTTGTGGGTCCAACACTCTGACTGCAGTGCCTACCAGAAAGTGGAGAAATTGCCATACTGAGAATGCAGGATCCTTGACAGGCTAATGCAGCATGCAAGCATCTCTTCAAAAGTATGGAGCTTACCAAGAAACGTGAGCGAAAAGGTTCAGCTGGCCACTCAATACCATCAACCTTGGGGAGCACCCTAGCCACAGTGCACACCATTTTCACAAGGATTCATAAGTCTTCAACATTTTACATCCTGAAGGTTCATCAGAGGAATGCTGCAAACGTCAGGTAGTCTTGATAATGCCACTGTTACACAAGACAGTGCAAAGCCCTTGCAGTGATGAAGCAGCAGGCCATGATGTACCAAATGAATGACAGAAATCCACTTGGTGAGCATTTATATGTCACGTGACACAAACTGCCCTTGTGCGCACATGGCCATGCCGGGCTTGGTTCCCTACCACAATTGCTCATTTCCACAAAGGTCATTATTTTCTCTTGCAAACCTAATGCAATTGAATCTTCACGTGTTGCAAGGCCATGTCAAAGGGACAGCCCACATATTGTGCACTTCAGTTCCACATACCATGACATGCAATCAATTTTCTCAACACAGGGTGATACAGGCGAGTCCCACTTTCCTAAACGTCAGAATTGCACATAAAATGAGACCCTGCTCTTATGGTCTCCCCTGCACCACGCCAGGTCTGCAAGAGGCCTTTGTATTGCCTGTGGTCTCCTCACCCTTTCTTCAGCTGATGCTTCCAGTGTGCCAGTGCATTTGCCCGGACCATGAGCTCTGCCATGCTCTCTGTCCCAGGCAGCTCTGAGAGCTGTTGCAACATGTTCTGACCAAGAACATACCGATGGCCAGCGCTGCTTAGAAACCTGAAGCACCATGCAAGTGCACTGAGCGAGATCTGTTGCATTCCCCAATGCATCAGATATGCACTTGATCAGTGAGGCTGTCATCCGCTCAGTGCCTTATATCTCAAACCTGGACACCTTGTGGAAAGAAGGAAATGTGATGCAATGGGCATTGCCATCCCAAGCACACTATTTGAGTCTTGTCCACACACAGCGAACAAGCGCTTGGGAAGCATCCTCGTGCAGTTGGAGGACCACGGATCAACGAATAGGGCAGCGCACGGAACTGGAACGTGCTGATGCTTCCAGTACAAGCAGAGCTGCATACCGCCAGGACGCACAGTGCACCCCAACACAATCACGCTAACGATATCTTCGCCAATTGTGGGATGCAGGTATGGCTGGCGCTCATTCCGAGCAAATCAAACGGCCATCCTTGCGTTGCAGGAGGCGTGCAGCCACGTCAGACGCAACCTGCGCCTCGCGTCTTGGCACACACCTGAGGGGATCAACAGGTCCTGGGCGCCCACTGTCATCGGCAGTCGCTGCCGAGACAGTGGCATCCGGCTGCGACGCTTTTCTGCACCCCCAAGCCCAACCCCATCCCAACCTGGGAGCGCTGGTGGGCCTGCGCTGGGAGACCTGCGCCCTGGCAGCCCCGCCAGCTATTCTCGACAACAGTGAGCAGCGCGTGCAGGTGTCTGCGTTCATCCCGGAGAAGCAATGTGCGAGTAGATGGCCTGGGCCCTTAGTACTGTTACAGCTGGAACTGATTGAGTGTTAGTAATAACTGAATGTATGAAAAGGTGATGAAGCATTAGGAATTGTGTTCGGGTCGCCAATTAATGGGGTTCATCAAAAACGTTAGTGCATAAATGATATCAGGGACGCAGCTGTAGCGACCCAGTGAGGTCCAGAGTGCTCTGGTGCAGAGGGGATGTCAACACCTTGCACGCCGAATATGAAAATGTTTATAGGCAAATGAGATGACTCAAAAGCATTGGGTGTCAATAATGCGTGGCTATACGCCTGAAATGAGCCAGGTTGAACGACCGTGCGTTTCCAAGGCGCGGGCGGTTGCGTGGAGCATGTTTGCTTGCGCGAGAAAGGATCATTACTACGCTGTACTCACCACATAAGTACGGTGACCAACTCGCGGGCCAAGGGTGCGGAAATAATCCATGCCATGGCACCCACACCGGTGCCCTAACGTATTGTCATTGTACCCATATACTTCATATTCCGATGACAAATGTCTTGAGCACCGTTTATAATCTTATACCCAACGACTCTTAATGACGACTTCTATATTTCACATATCAGAATCGATATCAGCATCTTTTGTTCAACCATATTCAGCTATTGCTTCCTTTTCTTTTTCCCTATATAGTGGTTTACTGATCAATGTTAGTTTCAATCAGATGCCCTGTCTATCATCAGAACACACGGGTTTAGGGCGCTGGCCTGGCCGCCCCACTGCCCCTTTGCGGTGATAAATTGCCACGTACCGAGCGCAATAGCGCTCGACCTTTTCGAAGGTCACGGCCAGTTTGTGCCCTTTCTGAGCTGCTTTCCTTGCCGCTCAAGACCAGCAGTGCCAGCGCGGTTTTGCTGCAGAAGCGACCACCCTTCGTCGCTGCACAGCCTTGTCGAGGCGGACTGAAGTGCTTCCCGTATCATACGCCGACGTGCAGTGGACGAGGCAGCCCTGACCCGCGGACCCGACCTCCGTTTTGACTTCGTCGACCGTTGAGGAGCGGTTGCGACCGATTGCGGCGCTCAGAGCAGCAGCTGTGAGAGGCGCTACAAGCGTACTTGCATGGCTGGCTGGCAGTTGGGGGTTTCGCTACCCGTTTGAAGCTTCTCCTTGCCGTCGCCTCAATTTTGTTGGTCGTGTCGGCATGCCAAGCAGTTCTTCGTGAAGCGCCGGCTCGCGCGAGGGGCGAAGCTTGTTCGTTGAGTGCACCCTCAACTGCTGTGGTGCTGAGGCTGTCGACATGTCTCAGCTGCCCGTTTGAGGGTGGTGTTACTGCGCTATCTCCGGGGACGACGGCCAGAATGGACCGCCGTTCTTTGCAATTGCATTAAGGATGTTGATGAACGAACTGAATATAAAAGACAGAACGCTTGTTGTCCGTTTGCCTCGGCTGTAAACCGTTGCCGTGGACTCGAGCGTGCGATTCCCGTTCAGGGATCGCCACCCCTCGACCCTGCCTGCCTTCGTCAGTACCCAATACGACGCACAGTACTTGGAGGAGAGCTCCAAGCAGTGTGGCTCAGAAGGCCAAATTGTCTGAGCCAGTTTCATGTTTGTGGGATGTCAACACCATGCACGGCCGAATACAGTGAATAGATGTTTATAAGCAAATGAGATGACGTGGGTTGAGCATTGGGTGTCAATAATGCGTGGGCTAGTAACGCTACTAGAAATGAGCCATTGGTGTAGAACGTTACCGCCGCGACCAAGGTCGCGCGGTCGGGTTGCGGGAGCAGTTTGCTTGCGCGAGAAAGGATCATTACTACGCTGTACTCACCACATAAGTACGGTGACCAACTCGCGGGCCAAGGGTGCGGAAATAATCCATGCCATGGCACCCACACCGGTGCCCTAACGTATCGTCATTGTACCCATATACTTCATATTCCGATGACAAATGTCTTGAGCACCGTTTATAATCTTATACCCAACGACTCTTAATGACGACTTCTATATTTCACATATCAGAATCGATATCAGCATCTTTTGTTCAACCATATTCAGCTATTGCTTCCTTTTCTTTTTCCCTATATAGTGGTTTACTGATCAATGTTAGTTTCAATCAGATGCCCTGTCTATCATCAGAACACATGACTTTATAGCGATGGTCATTATATTGAACAAAATTAAATCAATTCACAAGGTTAATATCAATTCACAAATTATCGAATTTGATCAATTTCTGTCAGATAACTATTTACTCAACCAGCTTTGTTGCCGCCAAAATTCAGGTCTATATGACAATATGAATTATTTTTTTTGCTAAAATCATAATGCGCATTTGTTTTGGGACGGACAAAGCAGTGTGTTAATGTACTATTATGTTGTGATACATAATGCATGCCATGTACTGCATGGTGTATTGTGCCCTAATAGTGAACCTTCTTTGACAGTGAATCCCTTCTTGGTGCCCAAGAAGGGGACTGGAGACGCTCATGACGCCCTGACGTCCGCAGCGCTCCGATGTGGCATGACTCAGCAGCACACAAGGGCGCCACGCCAGCGACAGAAACTTCAGGACGGACAAAGCAAAAGGGCCCGTGGAGCCTCCGGGTGGGACAAGGCCTCCGAAGGCGCCGACAACAACAGCCTCCGGACCGGAAACACAAAGAACGCAACTGCATTGAGAGCGATGTGGAAATACGACGGCGTCGTGAACACGGGTGCGTTGTCCGCCACGCGTTCTTGCGTATGGGAACAGCGCGCAAGGATCGCACCATGTCCGAGCGACGGTATCTAGGGAACTTGCCGAGGCATGAGGAAATAACCTGGAACCTGGAAGGGCCTGCGGAAAGCGCCGATTGGTGCACCTGGATATTGATGTGCCCCCGGCCCTCGAGACGTACGCGGCATGCTTTCACGCGTGCACGTGCACGCGCGCACGTGTGCAAGGTGCCCGTGTCGGGATGGAGACATGCAGTGACTCTGGAAACAGGACTGGAAGTTTTCTGGGGCTCCTCTTCTGGTTTTTGGGACTCTGTTATATTAGAACATGTGCAGGCGGACACCCATGCTGCACTTTTGGAGTTCTGCTGTCCACTGTGCTTGCGCTCAGTTCGCAAGGGCACAAGAGGGCGATTGCTTGTACTGAAGGACGTGCAGCAGCTTGTGTGGCGTGCTTTAGACATCTGCAAGCGCCTCGTATGAGTGTTTGCACAAGAGAGACGCCCTTCAATAGATGTGCAGCCTCTCTTGGTGCACAGTAGACGCAAGCAGATGCCTATGTGGTGGATACTCTTTCAGCAGATCCACTCGTGTTATTGAGGTTCACCCTGTTTCCATAGCTGCTTGTGTCGCCCTGCTTGCGTCTAAGTCGAAAAGTGGCTCAGAAAGCAGGGTATGAATATTCGTGGGTCACTTCGAATGTGCAAAATGCAAAGGTATTCTAACTCAACCGGCGGGAGCATAACCAAACCTTGGTTGCCAAGGTTTTGTAACATGTGCGGAGACAGTCAGCAATAACCTGGAACCAAAGCTACGCGTAGAGTCCTGCGATGAAGCGTTGTGGATTCAAGGTTTGCTTAAACACTTTGGTGAATACTTTCTCTGAATAAATGCTAACCTAGCGAATAGAGTTCCTCTGTGCATAGGCCTGGCAGTGCTTCTGGATCTTGGAGCTGGCTATCTGTCAGTATCCACCGGTTTGCTGAAACAAGAAAACATATCAGTGCTCAATCAGCTCGTCTTCAAGGTATGGATAGCTAGCATGCATTGCGTGATATATGCACTTAAACAAATACCACGTGTTTCGACTGGTCTCAAACAAACCTCTCGACTATGGTGAACCAAGGTTGTCAGTGCAACACAGTGATACTGGCAACGCTGCTGTTATAAACTGAGGACCTTATGCTGTATGGTGACTGTCCGAATGCAAACTACTAACTCCTGTTGTTCATGTTGTCTTTACTTTGAGATTTGTTTACACTTTCGAGCAGTATCCTGCCAAAAGATGCAAACGCAACACAATGCAATACAATGCTCGGCCTCTGGTTCTTGGGGCAGTTGCGTTTATGCTTCCAAGTTCTTAAACAGCTGGTGTAAGCACATGTTGTTGGTGCACATAATGGAACGGCATGCCCCATAGTCTGATAAGGTCAATCCCCCTGATCCTCTAGTCGTGCTGAGCATGGTGCTCGATGCTCACTGGTGCAAACATGAATATACTACCATTCTCCGAGCATGTACCTACCATTGCCTGTAGTAGACGAATTGAGTCTTGCTTGCTGGTGTCTACAGATCACTCTCCCGGCCCTTGTGACACGAGGAATTGGTCTCAAAGTCGACCTGTACGATTCTGACATATGGCGTTTCGTTGGTGCATTCCTCGTTCTCCGGTTTCTTATCTTGGCTTTTTGGGCAGTCCATGGAACTGCTACATCTTTATTTTGGTCTCGAGGCCATGAAGCCAATAAGACTGCTGTGGGCGACTTCGTTGTTTATTGGCTTGCGTCGAGCTGGATATCGACAGTGATTCTGGGAGTTCCAGTGCTGGAGGCCACGTTGGGGCCGAAGTACAAGAACTTGGGTTTGCTGGCAGGGATTTCATCATTTATTTTCCAGCTACCGGTGCGTTAACCCCAGCGTTGTTCCCTGCATGCCGTCTGTTTTGCAGCGTGTAGTGTTACCGTTTCACCATTTAGGGGGCACGGGGCACCCAAGTTGCAGGCTGATGTTATTGAATCTTCAGAATGAACAGGCAGTTGTTTAAGGCCAATGTCACTGATAGGAGCAGCTGGAGATGTCAATGACATTCTTGCCAACACCTCTGCAAGATGCACAAGTCGCGCTCTTGTGACACTCGCTGTATCCTTGCAACACAAACGGCCAGTGCGATCTGTAGCTTCCTGATACACAGTTCCGGTGAATCTCAGGTCATGCTCTTCTTGTTTGAAGTGCACAAAGTGGAGATACAGCAACACACACTCCAGGGATCGCGTGACTTGGAGGGAGGGAA